GGAGCTCCACAACCCCCGATGGGCCCTGCTCTGTGCATGACAGGGGGAAGCTCCCCAACTCCCTAATGGACCCTGCTCTGTGCATGACAGGGGGTGGCACCCCAAATCCCTGATGGGCCCTGCTCTGAGCATGACGGGGGGGGGAGCTCCCCAACCCTCTGATCGGCCCTGCTCTGTGTGTGACAGTGTGAGGTGCCCCAACGCCCCGACGGGCCCTGCTCTGTGTGTGACAGGGTGGAGCCGCAACCTCCCCATTGGCCCTGCCCTGATTATGATGGGGGGAGTGCCTCAACCCCCTTATTCACCCTGCTCTGTGGGTTTCAGGGGGTGGCGCCCAAATCTCCCCATCGACCCTGTCTTGAGTGTGACAGGGGACAACACCCCAATCCCCCAATCGGCCCTACCCTGACTGTGACTGAGGGTGGCATCGCAACCTCCCAATCTGCCCTGCTCTGTGCATGACAGGGGGCGGCGCCCCAATTCCCCAATTGGCCCTGCTCTGAGCCCGACCAGGGGCTGCACCTAGGGATTGGGCCTGCCCTCTGCCACCCGGTAGCAGGCCTAAGCCAGCAGGGCGTTATCTCCCGAGGGGTCCCAGACTGCGAGAGGGCACAGGCCGGGCTGAGGGACCCCCCCGCCCCCCGAGTGCACAGATTTTTGTGCACCGGGCCTCTAGTCTGATATAAACCATCAATAAAGATGAGTCAGAATTAACACCCACCCCCCCTCCCCCGAAATCTTCCTGTATGACCCATAGGCACCTTAAAACCCAACACATCCAACACTGGTGTCATCACCATCCCTCTCTCTCCCCACCTGAACTGCTGCTCTTTCAAAGTTCCCCATCTCAGTAATTAGCACCACAACCCACCCAGATGCTCTTGGTAGAAAAGTCTGGGGATTATTCTGTCTCCGTCCTCCCTCTCACCTCCCACCTTCAGCCACAGAAAGTAACTGACATTCCTCCCTACTCTTCCTGCCCTGAACTGGGTCCTCATTGTCTGTCTTGGCACCTCCAATCTGGCTTCTGCACTCCCGAGCGCTCACCAAGGAAGTGGGACTCCATGCAGGGCCCACAGGTCCTCCCAGAGCTGGCCTCGGCTGACCTCACTTCCGCCAGGCCTGGCTTGCATTCTATCATCAGCACACACTGTACCCTGTGGGGCTCCCACACTCCAGGCTACCTTCTACTTCCAGGCCTGTGCCACAGTCCCCAACACCTGGGAGACTTCCTTTCTTCCTGTCTCCACACTCCACTCACCCTGCAGCTGGTCAGCCCCTCCCCGGAGCCTCCTGGAGGGCTGTGTGGGCCCAGGACTGGACCCAGAGCAGGACAGGACCCCTCACCTGCTGATGATGCCCTTCATCTGGATGTCCTTGTCCTCCTGCTGCCGCCGCAGCCGTTCCTCACCCTCCTCCAGCCGCGCCTGGTACTCCAGCACCAGCTTCTGCGTCGTCTCCTCCTGGCACTTGAACAGGGTCTCATACTCCTCCAGCTTTTTGGTGGAGATTCGTAACTTGTCCTGCAGCACTGCCAGGTCCTGCCAGGAGGGCAGCGCGCCACAGCACAGCACCCAGGACAGAGAGCACAGCCGCGTGAGCCCAAGCAGGCGCCCAGGGTGGGAGGGAACCCAGGTCGGACTACCCCAGGGACTGTCCCCACCCCAGCTCACTTCCCACTGTGAGGAGATGCCCCCACCCGGGACTCTCTCCACTCTAAACTCCCACCTCCCTCGTCTGACCTTACAGCTGTGAAGGGGATGAAGATTCAGAAGTAAATTTAATTAAGATCTTTAGCTTTTTATAGCAAACATCAGTTAAGGAGATTTGACAGTTCCCTGTGAGATGAGGGCTCTGTAAGAGGGGAAACTGAGGCTCTGAAGGCAAGTGACCGAGTCACATGAGTAGCGTGGCCAGTGGGGTAAGATCCAGCCTCCCAGCCTCTATCTGACCCTAAAGCCAGGTGGTGGTGGGAGAAAGTGAGGGGGTGGGGGAAAGGGGAAGGGGATGTTAAGGGCAAGGTGGCCTGGCTTTCTGGATCTGACTCGGTGCAGCACGCTCAGCCTTTGGGGGAGTCAAGGATGGGAAGGCAGCAAGAGAAGCAGCAAGCTAGGAGGCTGTTCGGGCTGGACTGAGGGCAAGGCAGGCTGATGCCAGAGTCGGGGGCTGGGGCCAAGGTGCCGTGAGAACACAGGCTGGGGGAGGCAGGAAGAGCCTCTGCTTGAGTCTGGCAAGAGGAGCACAACTCTCAACAGCAAAGGACTGTTCCGAAGTCAGAGGGCAGCAAAGCCAGAGATCCACCTCCAATGTAATCCCTGAAGCAAAGCTTGACCCCAGGGGAGCCTGGCTCCACCCCAGATCTTCTGCCCACCCCTGCTCAGCGGGCCAGAGGAGCGAGGGGAGGGTCTGTCAGAGTCTGGACCAGGTTCCCCGGGAGCTCAAGGAACAAAGGCCTCCTGGATTTGCCTGTGAAGGTTAGTAGCAAAGTGGATGAGAGAAGCAGCAGCTCATTCAGCCAAGGGACAGAGGAAGGGGGGCACTCCAGCCTGGCCCGAGGAGCGTTCAGGCCATCCTTCAATTCACACGTGGAAATCTGAGCCTCAGAAAGGCACCGAGCCTGGCCCCAGGTCCACGCAGGGAGCCTGGGGAGAGGCTGGCCCTCCTTGCTCCCCAGCCAAGCAGTGGCTCTTGGAGCACGGTGCCCCACGACCCCTCACGTAATTATGGAGAAAGCAGGTGGATGCGGTGGGCCACGGGGAGGGGGCAGCATGCAGCATGGACATGAACCTCGCCCTAGGCCAGAGAGGGAGCTGTCGCCTGACTCCACGGCCCTGCCTGAGGCTGCCACGGGCTTTCCTGGGGCTGAGAGTGAGAGGGGGAGTGACTGTTGCCTGGGGGCCTCTCACGGGTAGACCTGGGCTCTGGCCTCAAACCAGCCATGGATCCAGGGCAGCCATCACACCACTGGGAGAATGGGAGGCACCCCACTGCCCACCAAGGGCCAGATGTGTGTGGTGGGTGGAACATGGGTATTTTAGAACCACTTTTTCCCCCGGAGAAGGGGACTGGGAAAGAGCCAGGCCTTGGGCAGGCACAGCCCAGAGTGGAGGGGGCCTGGCTGGGGCACCCTCCCAGCTGTCTCGGGGACGCATGCCTCCACCGCCACATGCATGAGGCTCCCTCAGGGTCTCCATGCACCTCTTTGGCACCCTCAACCCCCAAGTCCCAGCTGAGTCTCACGTGCAGCCCGTGTGGGAAACCTCAGGTCTAACCTAAACCCTCCTGCTGTTCTTCCAGATCCCACTGGCTGCTGTCCTCACAGGAAACCAGGGGTTGAGAGGGGCCTGGCCATTTGCAGGAGCAAGCAGTGCACCCTCACTCAGGTCTCGACCGGGGAGAATCCAGTCAGCTGCCAAGGGATGCAGCCCCTCCCTGTCCCGAACTGACAGGGTCCAGCGTTACCTTTTCTGCTTGGCTGAGCTCCTCCTTACTCCTTAGCCTATCCCTGTGGGGGGGATCTGGGCCCAGTCCCTCGTCTTCTAACAACTGTGCGTTCATGGTCAAGAGCCAAGCAGCTGTGCGGTCCAGGGCATTGGGGCTCACAGGTGAAGGGCCCTACAATGAAACACAGCTGTGAGGGCTGGCAGGTGGCAGGGGGAGGGTAGGAGGCGGGAGTAGCACCCGGTGAGCCACGAGAACAGGTGGCTCAGAGGCACGGGAGAAGGGAGGGGACCTGCAGCTGACCGGGCACCTACTGAGGCAGTACCTGACCGAGGAGGCTCCAGCTCCCAGCCGGCAGCCTGGGGCAGAGTCAAGCGCCCAGGTGAGAATGGGGAGCTGGCCCGGGAAGACCAGGCGCTCTACCCAAAGCAGAACCGTTCCATGTACTGCGTGCAGCCCCTGGGTGACAGGAAGCATGCGTGGCAACTGAGCTCTGGAGGCCAGCTCCAAGCAGGTCACAGGTCAAGTCCGACCCTGGGCAGGGCATCAACAGGCTTAGAACTGAAGATGGTCTGACCCCTCCCTCTCTCCCTGACCCCAGCTGTCTCAGGGGAAAGGGGCAGAGGGTCCTGGAGGCTGCAGCGTCACTGGTTCACAGGACTGAGGCAGAGGCCAGCAGAGCCGGGGGAGAGGAGAGGTGTATGTGGTGGGCTGGGGCTGAATGTGGCATCATCAGCATGGGATGGCAGCTGGGTGAGGGGAGATGAAATGACCGGGAGGAGCAGCATGGCCTGGGGAGGACCACCCTCACGCCTGCCCTCCACCTGCACACTGACCTGCTTGTGCACCGCTCGAGGCTTCAGCTCGGGGCTGTCGCCCTTGGAGGAGGAGGACTGCTGCCGCAGCCGGGCTCCGGGGCCAGCCCAGTCGGGTGAGGCCGACGCCAGGGTCCCGCTCGAGGGCCGAGGGTACTGCAGGGTGCTGAGCAGGGTGGGCGGTGTCCGGCCACGGGGCGCAGGAGGTGGCGGTGGGGGCGGGGGTGGCGGCTGGTCGATCCGACGCTGGGGGCCGGCACTGTTCTGCCGTGGCACCGTGGGCTGCCCGCCCTTTTCAGTCAGTGACATCTGCCGCCGTGCCAGCTCCCCCGGCCGCCGCCCGAGCTCCTCAGCGGCGCTGCTGAAACTTCCCAGCTTGGCGGCGGCTGCCAGCTCCTCACTGTTGCTGTGGGAGCTCAGGGAGCTGTGGCCCTCGGAGCCGGAGTCGCCAAGGCCGCGGGGCGACAGCGGCAGGCCAGCCGCCATCTGGTACACAGGGTTCTGGAAAGAGAGCGGCGCCAACAGCTGGGGCCGGCCTGGTGCTCCCTCGGAGGTGCCCGGTGTGGTCGGCGTCTGGCCTGCCCGCCGCACCGTGGCCAGCCCTGCCAGGCTCACGGGGGCTGCCCGGGCTGGCCACCCAGCCACCAGCTGAGCTGCAGGCATCTGCCCGTCGGTGGTGAGAGCGTCGGGGCCCGCTGGGGAGCCCGCCTCCCCATCCAGCGTGCGGGCATCTTGGAGGTCCACCATGGACAGGCTCTTGCCACCGTTGGCCATCTGAAGATCAGGTTCGTTGGCTTCCGAGTAACTCGAGCTGCGGGCAGGTGATGGCTGGACCCCGGAGGACCTTGTGACAAAAAACAAGTCCTTGTTTTCGGGGGTTGGAGACGGTAACCGGGTGAAATCTATCAGACTGCAGGGAGACAAGCACACACAGGGAAAGAAGGGGGAAGAGAAGAACTGTGAGTGCGGCCAAGGCGGGTCCGAACCGAGAGCCCCCGCCACGCTGCCGGGCCTGGCGGCCGGAGCCAAGGCTGAGGGCGGAGGGGGGGGGGGCAGGGAGGAGGTGC